TGGATGGATTTGAAATAGTTGGGAAACAAAACGCCAAAGGAGGTGTTTCTGAGACTGTTCCGAGCAGGCAATATGGCGAAGCGTTGTCTGTAGAAAACTCCAAGGTTTTTAGAAGTTTTAAGCCGTTACGTGTTGCTATGACACTATTCGGACTTTACCACGAGGAAAAGAGCGGCGTCAAAATTCACGACATATCGGTGCTTGGAAAGGGACATAGTAAAAGGAATGTGTCATTTCTGCAAGTTTACAGTGTTATTGCTGTGTCCTATATGTGGGTAAATTTCCTAGGACGTGGACTGGTTGCGTTCGATGGCAATGAGAGTGTAGCTAACCCAGCATTGTACTATAAAATTATGTACACTTTTTGGTACATGCGTTGCGCTTTCCAAGCTACGTTCTGTTACTATGCGTGTCAGTATAAATTGCCAGCGATCTGGAAGGAATGCGCCCAGTTGGAAATAGATCTGCCTAGCGTTATGGACGCAATAAAGCTCGATCTGCGAACTAAAATTGCAGTCGCAATTGTGGTTATTTATAATGGATTTAACTTTATATCTGTGGTTTACTTGATGTCAAACGCCTTACTGCCTGCGTTTCTCTATTCCCCCTTTCATTATTTCGTGGATTTGACAGTTCCCAGCATCGAGGTAACACTGCTGAATGTATTTGTGGCATTTAGTGCCTTTTACACGAGTCTGGCTGTTTTTGTGACATACGCAATTTATACATTCTTCTGCATTCTGTTTTACTCCATGCTTAAGGCATTCAACAATGAATTCAAAGAGGCCGTTCACCAAAGCCTTGTGACCGGTGAGCCCTTTCAAGTAGAGTTCCACCGACGCCGTCACCTGAGACTCTGTAAATTGGTCGACATTGCCGATGGAATGTTCAGTTTCTTCGTGGCCTACACTTTGGTTTTTAATACAGTATTCTGTTGCCTGATATGCTACATGTTGATTTATCATTTGGACGAGGTGGCTGGTACACCCCTGGACATAATGTTCATGATAACTTGGACAGTACAGGGCATCGTAATGCTGGGCATCGTTTTAGTTGGTGCAATAGTTAATGATCAGGTTAGTACGTCTCTTTCTCTCTCCCTCTCTGTCTCTCCCTCTCTCTCTCTCTCACTACATGTACATATAATTTGTAGAGCAAACGTTTTATCATAACAAAATGTGTTTGTGATAATTTTTAGGCACATTCCCCACTCTTGGAGCTCAACGAGGCCCAGTTGGACATCATACCCGATAACCAGCTGATTCCGGTAAGAATAAAACAAATGTTCAACAAATATGGGAAATTTGTCATGGATGCATTAATTATAGAGTACGGTTGGCGTCATAGCTGTGAAAACCGCTAATTACATTTCATTGTCGTCCTCCTTCTTCTAAAATGAGATACTTGTAACAAACATCCAACAAAGGGTAAAACCATCAACAGACGATGCCTATTGATTTTCTCCGTGTGCTGATAAAACAGTATTTGCAACATGCTACTTTGTCTAATTGATTAATGCATCAAGAAAAAAAAACGTCCATTAGTAATACAGGAAAGTCCATAGCAAAGTGGTTACTTAGATCAATTGACGTTAACAATGCTTTTAACGTTAGCTGAAAGCTAATTGAGATATCACGTTTTGGTCTAGCTCTGGCACTTGTCTCAGTTCTTTGGAAAGGCCAGTTTGTGACGAAAGTTCGAATTTTCACAAAAAATCAATATGAATAAATTGGGATTTGGATTAAGAGAACGGAACAATTATAAATATAATTGGGAAAGTTAATTATGAAAATCAAGATTCGTTAATAACAGTTAAAAGTAATTAACTACATTAGTGCAAAAATGCAACTGATTCCTAGTGCTATACATGTACTTCCATTGTTCAAAAAGTGGGCGGTAGGCTTGGTCACGGTGAAGAGTAACCGTGTCCGTAGACACGATCACGGTAGTGAGAACAGATTAAAAAGCCTAGCTGTAATTCACACTCTGATAGAAATTAATCTGTTAAGTCTGTTGATAACTTATAAGATTAAACTCTTTCGACACTGAAACTATAGCTATGCCAAAGCATTCCTTCCTCTGTTTGTGTTACTGTGCGAATGAGCACTATTCACAGATGTCTCAGTAAAGTGCGACAATCAATGATCCTCTCTCTCTCTCTCTCTCTCTCTCTCTCTCTCTCTCTCTCTCTCTCCCCAGTCTCGGAGAGAAGGGTTAAGGCTACAGGCACATCCTTGCCCACAACCCGAGCCTGCACCGATACGCGGAGACACAAATTGCCGCACATATAGGACAGCACTATATTACTGAGACATTAGTGAATGGGTCCCTCTCGATCATAGTAACACACACACACACACACACAAAGAAAGGTCCTGGAGTGACCGAAAGCTTTGTTTAGGTATACCTATCTGTCATGTTAGTTTAGGAGGTGAAAAATTTACTCTCATAAACTACAATTCCTAATTGACAATTTCTGTACTAAGATTCATTTTACAAAATAATACAGGTTCAGCACTACACCATTTTACGATAGCAAATGATATAGTTTCAGATGTTCCTGAACAAGCTAAGTGTCAATCCTATAGGATTTAGTGCATTGGGGATGTTTACCATAGACAAACCTACTATTTTGACGGTCAGTACAAATTTGAGGTGGTATATTCCGTATTATTTTAGGCTTCCGGTCCTTTATATGCGAAAAATACGTATAATAAAATACATATCTTCGTTAAAGTTAACAAAACATTAAGTTTTAGCCTTAGACAACGGTGTACGTTTATACAGTTTTGTTATAAATACAATATTCATAACCGTTGTAAAGGTAAACATAAAGTTGGTAAAAATGATAAAGTTGGTTAACGACCACAACGGCCTTTATTTTGAGAAAGTCAGAATTTTATTTTCATGCATTTTTACCATTTAGTTTATAGTCTGGTTGTGTTTTGCTTTGGTAACAAGAAGATATTTAACCGACTCTAGAAAAACACCCTAATGTAATTATAAACATAAGCTTTAAGTAATTATATACATAAGCTTTAAGTTGTAGAATAGCCCACCCCGAGACTTTGCCATCCCCCCTCCCATCGTAAAAGATGTGCGGTGTTAACGTCACTGTCAATGTTGCCAATGTTATTGATGTTTTTCACAATACAAGGGCGAGATGAAGCAATAATTTACATGAAAAAATAACATCTAAATAAACAGCTATTTATTTCAGATAATCGGCATGTTCCTGACATATTTCTTTCTGATGATCCAGTTTAAACCAACAGATGCCACAATGCCCTTTGCCGGGAATGTTACGGTATCATGAACATAGATGCAGCAATAATGTATGGACACATCAAGATGAACACAGACATGCTTTAAGCCATGTCAATTATTGAACTGTACAAGGTACCGGTAGACATATTTTGAGGACTGCCATATCATACAGGGGCGTAACCAGGCATACGCACGGATGCACTGTGCGTACAATTTTTTGAGCCAACCATGATATTATTCTCCATAAATTCAGTGTATTTTTCACGGAATATAATTGTACCTGGGAATTTTCAAAATCTGTGCGTACAATTTTAAAAGGATTGGTTACGCCCCTGTCATATGCAAGGAAGAAAAATCTAGTGCAAGAAAATTTTTCAGTATCACAAACCTACTGTACATACTGGTACCAAGAACGTTTGCAAAACCTCTCCAAATATATGTGCTATCATAGTTTCCTCTCCTTTCAAAATTTCTTCATTAGCTACTGATTCACCGTTTAACAATATATAATATATATATATAAATAAAAATCAAAAAGTTTGACATAAAAGTTTCCCAAATTTAATGAAGTGAAGGAAATTATTTCCGCTGTCAGCTTTTGTTGTCGGCATGGCAATGGTCACCACTTGACATTTTAGCCTTTTTTGTAAATCTTACTGTGCCTGTTACCATAACCAACCCAAACCTAAACGCTTTGCCTCTCTTGTATACTGAGTACATGTAGATCACAATTAAATCATTTCACTGTTCTATTTAAAAGATATTGGCCTTTCAACCCTGACCCAATCACTGTCCCCGCCCACATCACGTGGAATCTCGCGAGATTACGAGTGAACAAATATTTCCTGGTCGCTTAAGTGGTTTCATCTACAGTTCGTCGTATTCCTTGTCAGTAAGTTTGTATACAAACTTTTTTCTCTCCCTGTGGAAGAAAGACGAATTAAAACACTGCCACATCAGCTGAAGCTCTCTATGCCGGTGAAAAGAAAGAATTTGGAACCACTCTGCATTACGTGTGTGTATTTTGGCCGTGATGATTTCTCCCGTAGCTTTGTCAGTGGCTAACTCGTTGATGAAGTTCGGGAGTTTTTCATAAAAGTCCATCTTGTTTCTGCGTAAAGAAAATGAATATAAATTTCTTCAATTAATACATGGAGCAACGCACATATACCTGTATACAGTGCATGTGCTTTATATGCCGGTTAGTACTGTACAATGTACACGTTTATATACAAGCACACTAAGCATTTAGAAAATTGATTCTCGAAATTTACTTTTTTAACTTTTCCTCGTATCATGGAACACACTGTGCATGTAATACTGTTACCACAATGCGTAATATCATACTTAATTGGATTCCATTTGTGATAAAAGACATTTAGAAAGGACAGCCAACTATGGTAGCGACGGTACGCATATGAACTGATGGATTCAGAATTTTGTTCAAGGGGACGGGTGAGAATAAGAGTAAAATGTTTTGCCACGCCTGGTAAATATATAAAAACAGACTGGAAAATATTTGATTTCGTCCCTTTTAGTTCTTTATACATCCTATATTTATGGGGGAAAAAAAGAGAGTACCGCAGCAGAAAAGAGAGGCCCGCTGAACGGGTCTACACATTGAATGCACATGCGCGTTGTTGTTACCAATCACGTGTAATTTGACTTACTTTCCAATTACGTGGTCCACAATGCCCAACTCTTGCGCATGCTCAGCAAGGATAGGCCCAGGGTTAGANATCTGTATACATCAAGATCTCACCTGTCGAAAAGAAACGCTCTCCGCCCATCAACACAACAACTCGGATGTGGCTCATCTTGGCAACTTGACCAAGGACCTCTGTCAAATGATCTGCCTGGTTGCTGTCCATAGCACCATTGTAAAAATCAAAGTGAATGTAGCACGCTTGTCCGGAATGACTCACCCAGACTTGATTATATGAAGACAAATTGCTCAAATCCGCAATTCCCAAGGCCAGAGTTGGTGAAATTGCAGACACTGCTGGAATCTTGAGGGACAACTTCTTTTTGTCCTTAAAAGCAAATTACAAATCTATTCAAAAACTACTAGTTACCAGTTTGATATAAGAGAAACTCCAATCAAACGACCCCCTCCAATTTTTAAAGCAAAAAAGTGTCTCTCTCCATAAGAGACAGAGTGAACATTAATCTGAGATCCACGAAAGCATTCTTATTGTAGAAACTACTGCAAAGTGCAGCGGTAGTCAGCAGACTTTTAGGAGTGACACCTGGTGATGACAGGTGGGTTTATTTTTTAATTTTGTGCAATTCAATGCCGTGGATTAGCAAGTAAAATATGAATGTGTCATTACTGCAGACCTGTACTAGCATTCTCGAATGCCTTCTGACGCAACGATTGAAACACAACACAGCTTGGAAAATAAAACACTCTCACCTTCAGGCAAGTTATCCAAACTCCCAGCTTGTCTCCGCTTTTTACCAAAAGTGCCCCCTGCTTCTTTCCAATTACAGAACCAGGTTGGTGGGCATTCAACCTTTGTTCCAAAGCTCCACCACGGTCTTGCTCTATGTGGGCACCGTATACCCGATAAGTTTCGGTTAGTTCTGTGTTGTTGTCGCGGAATGTGATATTTGCAAGGGCGCCTGGATGTGTGTCGGAACTTCGAATGATTCGGCATATTTCTTCAGCTGAGGCAGACCAGTCAATCTCCCTGTCGGACTTTTTCATTGGGGGCAACGGACAGCCTTTTATTTCTGGTCGATTGTAATCAAGTGGCGTTGGAATCACTCCAAGTCGATACCTTAATTTGGAATAAGATGGAATGGAGAAAATCGAGATTAAAACTCAGCGTGTCGCCGCATTATATAACAGTATACAAAGGAAAATAATAAAAAGAAGCTACAAAACCCCAATGGCAAAGACAGCAAAGAATATTTAAAATAAATTGATTCATTTATTAATTGATCACTGAAATGAAGGGCAGTCTCATTGGACTGAAATACCTCGTAAGCCCGTCAACGACCAGCTCGGCGGCCATGTCACTGATTTCCCCACCGTACACTCCTGTTTTCGTGGCGTCTGCTTTTAACGGAAATGTCCCTGTACTCCAGATGTCGCCTCCGTCCATAACCGGGCTAGCTTGCAGCAGCGTCGCACCCCATTCCCTCTTGTCTTGTCGTATGGCCCAATCAATGGAATTCCGTCCGCGGTCACCTGCAATACCCGGATGAAAAACCAAACATGGCCGCTTGGTCGTCTGCCATATGCTTTCTGGGATGTATTTTGTAAGGTACGGGCAGATGATGACGTCGGGTTGGTAGAGTGTTACTGCATTTTCCATGGCGCTTCCACAAACGAACGGAACGACATGGGTAATTACCTGGATGATAAAAATGAATAAAATGTATACTATTATCAGTACAATGTAGTGACGTAAATGTACACGCACAGAGAGGGTGACGGTCCTTCGATGTGGTTTCAATAAACAGTATTAATCAAGAGGCTCCCCGCGGGGATATGCCATTAACAAACAGTTCAAAATATTCCAGGCGTGACTACTCTATATACCTAATATACTGAAGGCCGTAATAGGATCTGATTGTATGGGTAATTTACTATCTTCAACCTTTCGATGCACATTAATTTCGGGGAATAAATACAGGTAAGCTCAGTTCCTGTGTTATATTCTATGCGAACGTTTGGAACCGAAAAAAAGCAAATTAAGATACATACGTGCACACGTAGTGACAAGGTGCACGTTCTACAATGTATTTTCAGTGAACTAGCTGTGTGTAAAATACGACTTATCTAACTACACTGAACAAATCGGTTTGAAAAACTGTATTAATCACATTGTCCTTATTTTTTCTTATTATACTCAAGAGTTGAGTCTACCATTAATTATAGTATTTGCTTAGTTATAACTTTCAACCTTAATCATATTTTTTTGTTTTTGTCTCTGATATATGTACAAACTTCGGTGACTTTTGGCCATGAGGCCGGGTGATTTGTAAATCTATATCACACGTCACTTTAATAAATAAACAAATACTATATTATATTCTGTTTTTCAACCAAAAAGATACTGTAACCATCGGCTTGTGCGCAAGGGATTGATTTGTGTACTCCTGATGATTAACATGTAGTTAGAATTTAGACACTATAGAAGTGGGACTGTAAAACTGGTTTTAACTTGTATGTGTTTTTTAATTGTTAGGGTTATTGCCGTGACTTTGTAAACTACGATGACAGTGAGACCGTGTCGTTTTGAGAGCGATATCAGCTCAGCAATGCAAATAAACACACGTCTGTTGTCAAGGAGCAATTAACGGTTGTGACACGGATCTTGACACTGTTTCTAAAAGGAAAATCCCAATAGACTTAAGTAATTTGCCTATGAGCTTAATAATAACTTGGACAAATAAATCATTGTCAAAGGTTTAAGGTCAAACAGTTTAACAAGCGATCTTTTAGATTTATTGAAAAGGCACCTTAGTCGGCTGAACAGCAGTTGTCTAAATTTCGCAGCCCCTTAACTAAATTTAACAATTTCGCAAAAGGGGCTAGGGGAAGCCTACTGTACACCCAAAATAGCATTTTACCATAATATGTAGATAAAAAAATAAAATCTTACTTAATTTCCCTACTACAACGTCTACTCCTTACCCCCATTTTTTCAAAAAAAATCAAACTAGACCCACCTGAAGTAATCTTATCAGTCTTAGATCTCACGTACTGTAAAATAAATACTTCAAAAACTATTAAGTCATTAAAATACAGACGAATTTTAACAAAAGTACCATTTAGTATTATATTCTAGGTTCAAATTCACTGAAAAATTAACTTTATTGGTTTATTTTCTGTAAAAACCCAAAGTTTTACCTCATTTGAACTTTGAAACATTTTCCTAAGAAATGCTTCACTGTTACATGCATTGATTATTTATATGTTTCGAACAATTTTTTTTGTTAAACTACTATTACTTCTGCTACTACTACTACTTCCATCTCCTTTTACGCCTTCGGTCGTCTAAGGCACCAACAAAGATCTTCCACTGCTCTCTGTCACGAGCCAGGTGTTGAATGGTTCCCCAGCTTTCTCCCAGTTTTTTCAACTCTGCTTCAACGGTCCTTCTCCATGTGATGTAAGGTCTACCTTTTTCCGTATCCCTCTGGTGTCCAGTAAATGGCTACTTTGGTGGTGGAACTTGGGGCTTTTCATGGCACTGTTATATCATATAGGCCTACTATAAACGGTTTCCTTTCCCTTTCCGCCGTTTTTTCGGCAATTAGAATTAACCACCACTACAGTTCAGTAAATATTCATTAATCTTACAGATTATAGGCTAAACTGTCAAAATTGCATTAAATATTTGTAATATAAAATGATGAGATTTATCAAAACATCCAAAAATCATATTCTTGACTCTCTCTTTTATCTGAATAAATAAACAATAATGTTTTGTTTTCATGAAAATGTTTCAAATCTGGGACGTAGTTATTTTGGAAACTCAGTGTAAATACAGATTTTACATTTAATATGGAATATTTCAATTTAAAAGGCACATCCAGCTTTAAACGAATTGTTATTAAAATAGCTTCCCTCTGGTTTGAGATATGTGAATAGAGAAATGTGAGTCAGTACCAAATAATTGACCACCTAGATTTTGAGCACTCCTGCATTACGTAATGTGTGGTTATTTCATTTGGTAGTACTCTTTCAGGTAGTTCTAGTAGCAAGTATCCATATTTTGGAAACGCCTTCACATGTGATTGGAATTTTGATGCAAGCAACCAGCTTGCATGGGTGAGCGAATCGTTGCTCTACGCTAGAAAGGTGCAATTGCCAGACAGATAATTGTGTCACAAGGTAAAGGAACCATCGACACAGTGTTACAGAGGTATGCCCAGATTGGTGTACCTTCGCAGATGTCACGCCCAGGGTGACCACAACTTACAACCAGGAACCATTGTTCCTACGGTTTTGCTTCTACCTGCACATCTGAACAACGGCAACCGTTTCCCATCAAACTGAGGGACAGATTGCCACCAGAAAAAAGCGTTTTCAAGGCCCTTTGCGAACGCTACAGTGGTTTAAGCAGGTTACTAAACCTGTGGAAAGTACAACATTGTCGCCTATTTATGTAATATGTAAGGAACCATTAACTGGTCCTGGCACAACATTGCAACCGTTTGGCTTTTTCTGTTGAGGTTAGATTTCATCTGTACCACCAAAGTGGTCAAATATGAGCTCAGGGACACTTTGAAGAGGCCTACGACGAAGCATGCGTCACTCCTAAAGTGGTGCCAAAACAGCAATGGTAGTCATCGTTTGAAATCTGACCACGTCAAATACAGGAATATTCTGAAGACCACCTGCCTACTACTTGCTAAAGGCCACCTCAGGATCAATTTTGTTTACAATTTGAAAATGCCAGGCCGCTCAAACCACTTGTATGCGCAGATCACCTACACAACCAAAAGACTGAGAAGCTACCGCAGCCATCAAGATCACCAGATCTGACCACTACAGACAAACCATCGGTCTACTGGTCCTGCAACAAAACGGAACCAAATTGAACAAGTTCTGATGCCAGGAATGCTATTCCCGATTACACTTTTAAAAAACTTGTCCCAAGGAATGCCTTGCCGCTTGAGAAACCTGGTAGCAGCCAGTGACAAGACACTGATGTATACGATCAAGCCTCCTCTATGGTACGTAAAACTCATTTACAGATTATGATATCGAATATATGGAGATCCAAATCACATTTTTAGTGGTTGTTGTATGAGTAAGAATAGGCCATGTATATTTCTTTGCTTAATGAGGGTAATTCAAATAAAGAACTCATGACAATGACTCATTCAACACAGTGGCACTGAAGATTTAATTAAAAGTTTTTTAAAAGATGCTATAAATCCTCGAATTCATTTTTCAGTCAGAAAAAAGCAAAAANTAAATACTATATTATATTCTGTTTTTCAACCAAAAAGATACTGTAACCATCGGCTTGTGCGCAAGGGATTGATTTGTGTACTCCTGATGATTAACATGTAGTCAGAATTTAGACACTATAGAAGTGAGACTGTAAAACTGGTTTTAACTTGTATGTGTTTTTTAATTGTTAGGGTTATTGCCGTGACTTTGTAAACTACGATGACAGTGAGACCGTGTCGTTTTGAGAGCGATATCAGCTCAGCAATGCAAATAAACACACGTCTGTTGTCAAGGAGCAATTAACGGTTGTGACACGGATCTTGACACTGTTTCTAAAAGGAAAATCCCAATAGACTTAAGTAATTTGCCTATGAGCTTAATAATAACTTGGACAAATAAATCATTGTCAAAGGTTTAAGGTCAAACAGTTTAACAAGCGATCTTTTAGATTTATTGAAAAGGCACCTTAGTCGGCTGAACAGCAGTTGTCTAAAATTCGCAGCCCCTTAACTAAATTTAACAATTTCGCAAAAGGGCTAGGGGAAGCCTACTGTACACACAAAATAGCATTTTACCATAATATGTAGATAAAAAAATAAAATCTTACTTAATTTCCCTACTACTATAGTTTGATTTTTTTGAAAAAATGGGGGTAAGGAGTAGACGTTGTAGTAGGGAAATTAAGTAAGATTTTATTTTTTTATCTACATATTATGGTAAAATGCTATTTTGTGTGTACAGTAGGCTTCCCCTAGCCCTTTTGCGAAATTGTTAAATTTCTATAGACCCACCTGAAGTAATTTTATCAGTCATAGATCTCACGTACTGTAAAATAAATACTTCAAAAACTATTAAGTCATTAAAATACAGACGAATTTTAACAAAAGTACCATTTAGTATTATATTCTAGGTTCAAATTCACTGAAAAATTAACTTTATTGGTTTATTTTCTGTAAAAACCCAAAGTTTTACCTCATTTGAACTTTGAAACATTTTCCTAAGAAATGCTTCACTGTTACATGCATTAATTATTTATATGTTTCGAACAATTTTTTTTGTTTCTGCTACTACTACTACTTCCATCTCCTTTTACGCCGTCGGTCGTCTAAGGCACCAACAAAGATCTTCCACTGCTCTCTGTCACGAGCCAGGTGTTGAATGGTTCCCCAGCTTTCTCCCAGTTTTTTCAACTCTGCTTCAACGGTCCTTCTCCATGTGATGTAAGGTCTACCTTTTTCCGTATCCCTCTGGTGTCCAGTAAATGGCTACTTTGGTGGTGGAACTTGGGGCTTTTCATGGCACTGTTAAATCATTTAGGCCTACTATAAACGGTTTCCTTTCCCTTACCGCCGTTTTTTCGGCAATTAGAATTAACCACCACTACAGTTCAGTAAATATTCATTAATCTTACAGATTATAGGCTAAACTGTCAAAATTGCATTAAATATTTGTAATATAAAATGATGAGATTTATCAAAACATCCAAAAATCATATTCTTGACTCTCTCTTTTATCTGAATAAATAAATAATAATGTTTTGTTTTCATGAAAATGTTTCAAATTTGTTTTGAAACTCGTTGTTGCTCCTCTAAAATAAGATCGAACTATAAGTTTCATTTTATGTGGCAGTTTAGCAGAATGCAAATCTGGGACGTAGTTATTTCGGAAACGCAGTGTAAATACAGATTTTACATTTAACATGGAATATTTCAATTAAAAAGGCACATCCAGCTTTAAACGAATTGTTATTAAAATAGCTTCCCTCTGGTTTGAGATATGTGAATAGAGAAATGGGTAGCAAGGTGAGTCAGTACCAAATAATTGACCACCTAGTTTTTGAGCACTCCTGCATTACGTAATGTGTGGTTATTTCATTTGGTAGTACTCTTTCAGGTAGTTCTAGTAGCAAGTATCCATATTTTGGAAACGCCTTCACATGTGATTGGAATTTTGATGCAAGCAACCAGCTTGCGTAGAGTGAGCGAATCGTTGCTCTACGCTAGAAAGGTGCAATTGCCAGACAGATAATTGTGTCACAAGGTTAAGGAACCTTCGGCACAGTGTTCCAGAGGTATGCCCAGATTGGTGTACCTTCGCAGATGTCACGCCCAGGGTGACCACAACTTACAACCAGGAACCATTGTTCCTACGGTTTTGTTTCTACCTGCACATCTGAACAACGGCAACCGTTTCCCATCAAACTGAGGGACAGATTGCCACCAGAAAAAAGCGTTTTCAAGGCCCTTTGCGAACGCTACAGTGGTTTAAGCAGGTTACTTAACCTGTGGAAAGTACAACATTGTCGCCTATTTATGTAATATGTAAGGAACCATTAACTGGTCCTGGCACAACATTGCAACCGTATGGCTTTTTCTGTTGAGGTTAGATTTCATCTGTACCACCAAAGTGCTCAAATATGAGCTCAGGGACACTTTGAAGAGGCCTACGACGAAGCATGCGTCACTCCTAAAGTGGTGCCAAAACAGCAATGGTAGTCATCGTTTGAAATCTGACCACGTCAAATACAGGAATATTCTGGAGACCACCTGCCTACTACTTGCTAAAGGCCACCTCAGGATCAATTTTGTTTACAATTTGAAAATGCAAGTCCGCTCAAACCACTTGTATGCGCAGATCACCTACACAACCGAAAGACTGAGAAGCTACCGCAGCCATCAAGATCACCAGATCTGACCACTACAGACAAACCATCGGTCTACTGGTCCTGCAACAAACCGGAACCAAATTGAACAAGTTCTGATGCCAGGAATGCTATCCCCGATTACACTTTTAAAAAACTTGTCCCAAGGAATGCCTTGCCGCTTGAGAAACCTGGTAGCAGCCTGTGACAAGACACTGATACGATCAAGCCTCCTCTATGGTACGTAAAACTCATTTACAGATTATGATATCGAATATATGGAGATCCAAATCACATTTTTAGTGGTTGTTGTATGAGTAAGAATAGGCCATGTATATTTCTTTGCTTAATGAGGGTAATTCAAATAAAGAACTCATGACAATGACTCATTCAACACAGTGGCACTGAAGATTTAATTAAAAGTTTTTTTAAAGATGCTATAAATCCTCGAATTCATTTTTCAGTCAGAAAAAAGCAAAAAAAAAAAAAAAAAAAAAATGATTTGGAAAAATTATTCCATATGAATTGTCAAGACTTTTTGGCAGTACATGTACCTGAGCTATGGGAACGTGCAATGATTCGACTTTGCTATTAAATAGATTAATAGGCCCCATAAACTGTCAGAGCACAAAAATAGCATTGTACTCTTATTTATCAATGCTATTTAAATGCAAAAAAACATTCTGTATGGGTTTTAGAGTTTTAGGGAGCCTTAAAGCAATACAAATAAGTTGTTTTTCTAATTGCTATTTTACTTACCTTCAGTCTTTGTAAGGTCATCTTAACTCTATTGGTCAAACTGTTGACAGAGTTGGAAACTAGTAAAACACGGAGTCCTGCTATTAAAGATGGGTTTCTTGATATCTGACCTGGCATAGGCAAATACGGCGGCATAGTTGAGTGTCTTTTTTCCCTTTCTACAGTCGAGGAAAATATTTCTATGCATTTATTGTGCGTACCACGCGAATTCTATGGGTCTAGGTACTGGGTAGTTCGATCAAACTCTCGCTGAATGCAGTCAGTTTAACAGATTAACACGTCTCTTTTTCCAACGTACTTGTACAAACACCAGCTTTTCTGTATGCTACTCAGTAGGAGGCGTGTTGATCTGTTAAACTGATTGTATTTAGCGAATGTCCCCACGGGGTTGGATCGATCTACCAAGTACTTAGACAGATAGTTTCAACGAGAATGAGTCCTAAGACGGGAAATTAGAAGTTATGACTGCAAAGGACAGGTATGATTTTTACACTTTCACTAATAATGATCGTTGCGGAATAAGGTGACTGGCCTAATCACCCAGACGAATAGGAAAGCACGCCCCCTTTAAGTACCTTTAAAATCAAACTCGTGTAATCAATCTCCAGTGACGTTTTTTTCCTTTTGTTCATGGAGGATTATTTTATAGTGTCGCAAGCTAAAACACCCTTTAACACTGGAAGGCAACCCTAGTGCGACCACGAAACTGGACAGGTTTCGATAACTTGAGAGCATGACAAATTGCGACCGCAGACAAACATTGCGATCCGGCTCTTCTGCCTAAATCGAATGTATCGCAATTTTTGACTGCGCGCTAAAAGCGATATCGCCGCTTGTTTCAAGACTATAATCATCATCATTTTTTAACGTGTCAAGTGTATAGAACACCAAGCCCTTCGGGCTTATAAATATATAATTTGCGATGAGTCAACTCCGGCGCAATTGCCTTTGCGTACCTTGTATTGGGTTTTTTGGCTTGAAAATGTCACGGGTAAAATGCTATGTATATAGAATATTATTTCATCAAAAATAAAAAAACAAAAAATTATACTGTGGAGCATTTTATAAATCAAAGTCATTTAATATGTATGAATCTTCCAAAATAAAACATTCCATATATGACCTGAAATTTTCCAATGAAATTCATCTGTGCAATCCACTGATAATAATCATAAGTTTAAAAATTCTCTGTCTGCACAAAATGGATGCTAAACTTCTTAAAGCATTCGGTAACTTTTCCCTCCTCTCAAGGAGTTCGCACGTAAGACGTGCGTGGTCCAAGGAGCAAGTGCCCTTTGCGTGTTGAGTACGTCGCACACCCTCACAGCTAACGAACACAGTCGAAAGCACATGAGTCACCCCTACGCCAGGAGCATAAATGGAGTGCTCACGACGGACGCTCGAATCTCAACAATTAGCGGCGTAGTGCAACGTGTACAAAAATGTTCAGAAATGTCTAATATGAGATAGAAATTTTTCTAATGTGATATAGAATTACATAAAAAGTGGAAGTCACCAAGTGGACAATTTGGTATGAGCGGAACTTTGTTATAACGGGGGGTCATTTTTGCATCCACACCTAAAAGCGACATACAAAATTCTGACATCAAATGTTTTACTTAATTGGTGAACATACCTACACAATCGATAGAGTTTGGACATCTGACCATTATTATATCTGCAATTACCACAGAAAAGGGAAACATTTGAATTTAGTTGCTATTTGAGTGCCATTAGATCGGATGTTTATTGTCATCAAGTTGTTTAATTTAGCACAACCAGCGCTTTGTGTGATCAATTTTCGCAGAACCGCACTTTTCAGATATATTGTGTGTCCCTGTACATGTATTATGTAAAGGTGCATATGGAATTTTCCACGGGGAGGTGTTTGTCCACAAATCTATGAAAACAACTCCCCAACTTCTCCTTGCTCAAGGTGCATACATAACTAGGGATGATATGTGACCGTGGCGATATGCTGATCACTTAAACCTGTCCATTTAGCCAAGCTTCAGTGAAGATCGAGGGCAACCTCGAGCCGCTACCCAGAAATATCTCGCTTCACTTGACATTTCTGCGTAGCGTCTCTCGAAAAACTCGGATTTAACCTCGATGTAGGCCTACTGTAGACTTTCACGACTACATCTTGGTTAAATCAGTCGAGGTCTCTAAAATGCTGAAAGCCGAAGACGGAAGTTTACATGTAACCTTCTTGACAAGAGAATAGCGACTTTTTTTGCGTTATATACCTAGACAAATTTAAAATCCAAAAATTGGTCAGACATTACGTAAGAATTTGGCGGGAGGTGACCAGCGCACGTGGACGAGTTTATTCTATATAACATCTCTAGAGCGTGACGTAGGATCCATTTATTCGGTTTTAGGGGTGTTTTAGGATGACGCTCGAGGTGATATGGCATATATCGCTCGGGTGACAGTGTATTATCTCACACTTAATGTACTAATGGGTAAAAGATAGGGAATCAATATAACGCTTATATAAGTGTACAGCAGCTCACGCCTGTGTTTCTAATTGCCATTCATTTTGGACATAATGGCCAACGTTCAAGACGCAATATCAACTCTTGACATGGCTGGGAGACAACATAATACGAGGCGTATACCTGAGGCTTTTTCTGAGAGACAAGTTGGCCAGGTTTTGGCCATAGAAGATTCCAAAGTTTATAAAAGTTTTAAACCGTTACGTGTTGTTATGGCAATATTTGGACTTTACCACGAGAGAAAGAGTGGCACCCAAATTCACGATGTCTCGGCGAAGAGGGGCGAACCAGGGAAGCAGAAAGTGTCCGCTTTACAAGTTTACAGTTTCATTGCTGTGTCCTATATGTGGGTACATTTCATAGCACGTGGACTGGTTGCATTTGATGGCAATGAGAGTGTAGCAAACTCAGAACTTTATTATAAAATTATGCTTGCGGTTTGGTACTTGATTTGCGCTCTTCAAGCTACGTTCTGTTACTGTGCTTGTCATTACAACGACCGGTTACCAGCGATCTGGAGGGAATGCGCCCGGTTGGAAACAGATCTTCCTAGCGTCATGGAGGCAATAAAACTCGATCTAAAGACAAAAATTGCAGCAGCATTTGTGGTATTTTATAATGCCATTAACATTGTTTATATGGTTTACTTAATGGCAAATGAATTAACGCCGGTATTTCTCTATCCTCCGTTTCACTACGTTGTGAATGTCACAGTCCCCAGCACCGAGGTTACTATACTGAATGTATTTGTGGCATTTAGTGCATTTTACACGGGTCTGGCTGCTTTTGTGCCATATGTCATTAACATATTATTCTGTATTCTGTTTTACACCCTGTTTAAGGCATTCAACGATGAATTTAAAGAGGAAGTACAACAAGCACTTGTTACAGGTGAGCCTCTCCGTGTGGAGTTCCACCGTCGCCGTCATCTGAAACTTTGTAAATTATTCGACATTGCCGATAGGATGTTCAGCTTTTTTCTGGCCTACGTTTTGGTTTTAAATACAGGACTTTGTTGCCTCATATGCTACATGTTGATTTATCATTTGGACGAGGTGGCCGGTACACCCCTTGACATATTGGTAATGGCATCTTGGGTAGTGCAGGTCGTAATGCAACTGGGCGTCGTTTCCATTGGGGCAATAGTTAACGATCAGGTCAGTCTCTCTCTCTTTCTCTCTCTCTCTCTCTCTCTCTCTCTCTCTCTCACACACACACACAGTTTGCCTTATGATAACATGCATATGCACGCATTGAAGTTCATCTCAACATCTCTCTCTCTCTCTCTCAACCTCTATTTAAACGCCGCACGAATGTCGAAAGAAACAAAGGTTTCGGGGACAAAATAGCTTTAGTTTCTTATAGTAATTTTAGTTATTTCCATTGGAGCAACAATCGGAGATCAGCTAGATGAGATGCCGTCTGTTTTTTTTTTTTTTTTTGCTTTTGTAATTTATTCTACATATGTACGGATCATCTTGCTAAATTCATCAAAATCAGTGCTTTGTACAATATTTAATGACAATTTAGACATGTCTGACATGTCTCGATTTTTTGTAGCTCGAGGATTAAAAAAAAAAACAATCGACGTTTTCCTCGGCTGAGCATTTTCAGTATATTGATCAACACGTAATGTACCTTGACCCGAATTTCGTTTATGGCCCTGTCACACCTTGACGATTTCGCCAGCGTATACCCGACGTGATCAAGTTATATGGCATACGTTGAACTGTCGACGTTTTTTTTTTCAATTTTTGGCGTAAACATAGCGTATTCATAGCGAGTTCGGCGTATGCATGACGTATTAGTAACTTATATAGAACGTTTCTATTACTTATAGACAACTTATACCAACGAATTCGTAGCGTGTTGCCGGCGTTCACAACTTGTTCACAACTTGTTCACTTGTTCACAGCGTATGGCCGACGATCGCGTGCCGTAGCCTTTGAAAAGGCTGCCACTTGATGACTCAAATCTTAACCTCACTAGGCATCGCAGTGTCAACATCACCATTATGCGAACCCCATTTTTATACCCCAATTCTCCTAAACGCTGCCAACACGCCATCATACGGTAGCTCAACGTTAGCAGCATGTTCAGAAGTTCTGGGGTTGTTCGGAACGCCTCAAATACGTCTAAATATGTCAATGTGTTTAGAGGTAATTTCGATATAAGTTACACATAGGTTCGAAACACATTAACCATAGGTTGAACAAACGTCTTGGGTACACTTGATATTATCTTGACGTATTAAGACTTGTGAGTAATTAACACATAACGTTTGTTTGAACGGGATGTCAACGATCGCATAACTTTTTGCTCGCGTACGTTTGCGGGATGTATGAATCATAGTTGACATACGTCCAAAAGTTTTGTGCATGCATAACATTTTTGGACTACCGGCGTGCTTCAGCGTGTTCTTAACTTATACAAAACTTACCCACCACTCATTCGACGTACGCCAGCGTATTGGCCAAATTTTTCATACGTTGGCGTTCGCTAGCTAAATCGTCAAGGTGTGACAGGGCCATTACATAGGAAACCAAAAAACAATGAATTGGCAGTATGTCTTCCTGCAATGTCTGACGGATAATTTCCTTTTTATTGAATTGTTTTGACAACTGATGAAATATTTAAAAGGCATTCAAGTAAAAATACTCAATGTATGCTTTTCGATCTAACGATGTCCTACTTGTGCTGAACCGGCAGATTTGGGTTAGTGCAAGTGGGAAGACACGGTTATATTGCTTGGGATACAATGGGCCCAGTCTCCTCCTCTTTTTTTTTTTTTTTTTTTTTTTTTTTGGGGGGTGGGGGGGGGGGGGGGGGGGGGGGGTCGAAACCAGGAGTGTTTACTGAGAAAGACAGTTGTTTTGTTGATCTGGTACTATACGAGGATATGGAATAAAACACGTTATTGCTCAAACAAAAATACATCACAGTTGTGTTAAGAAAATATTAACGATTATTGAAGTGATTAAATTGTTGTTTCGGTTGTCACATATGCTGTTAAATATATATATATATATATATATATATATATATATATATATATATATATATTTATTTATAACAAAGTATATTTAAATCCGCCAAGGAGGTTATGTTTTCACCCCTGGTTGTTTGTCTGTTTGTCCGTCTGTCATCAACATAACTCAAAAAGTTATGGACTGATTTTTATGAAATTTTCAGGAACTATCAGAAGCGGGCCACAGAAGAGATGATTAGTTTTTGGTGGTTATCCGGGTCAATAATCAATCAATAATCAATAATAAAAAATATTGAACATTTAGGGGTGAAACGGCATTGGATGGAGACTTTGCTGCCTTGGCGGAGGTATGCGCTCTCTGAGTGCTTTTTCTAGTTGTAATGTATTTTTTTTCTTTAGGCACATTCCCCACTCTTGGAGCTCAACGAGGCTCAGTTGGACATCATACCCGATAACCAGTTGATTCCGGTAAGAATAAAATGGTACCGCATTAACCAACGCTTCGGGGCAATAGACTATAGAAGAGGTAGTGTCCTGCAAGTAAAATTAAATATAGACTTTTCAAATTATAGATAATGTTTTTGGATTCAATAAATAACGTCTTCGGCTGGTATGCTCCCAGAGAAACAATTTTTTTTAATTAACAACCATCAAAAAGTAAAAAATAAATAAATAAAACAATAGAGGAATTTACTTTGGCCTTTATGAAATTTTGATTGTCACTTATAATATTTATGGAACCAAGCAGTTGCCACTGCAAGAAATTAAAGCACAGTTTTACATGTTCCATAAAAACTGCACATTTGACGGAAAGAACCTCATTCGGAATACTTTGGATTGGTTTTTACACCGAAGGATCGACATCATCCTTATCATCAGTTCAATATATTGTTAACTCTTTTTAACATTAGATGTTTACCAACTGTTCATTACCGCCCCATATGACCAACCTGCTCTAAAATGAAACGTCCAGCAAATAGGATAAAAATCGATCGATAAAACTCAAAAACAGTAATTGCAATATAAATACCTACCATAAGTAGTATGGGAGAAATCGATGCTTTAGTTCAATAGACGTGACGTAAGCTTTTAAAATATTATAAAAACCGGCTGGGATCATATTTTGCTCTCTCTCATCATGCCCGCGGCAATTGTTTGGAAACGACAGTTAATCCCAGCGATGTTCACAAGTTTTAGTCTTCTCTATAGCATTCCACAACTTAAAAATAATTGTTTTAAAGCTTTTTGACCAAAGAAGGTGTAGAGAAACTGAGGGTCCGTGTAACACAGTTTCCGCCCTCTATTTAGTTATATAATGGTAAACCTGACCTAAATGGGTCAAAATCTAGGGCGAGGCTTACCTGTACAAATGAATGGGAAGCGGACTCTCTGCCATTGAGGACTCTCTGTCGTGTTACACCGGTTTTGCAAAATATCAATGGAATATTGTAATGTGAATTTGAACACATGGCTATTGAACTCATTGATCGGTGATAAATAACAACATGCAATTATTATTAGTGAAATAGGATAAAATTCAATTTAATTGTTAGCATAATAAGTCCTAATTTGACAATTTTTGTAATAAGATACATTACAAAAAAAAAAAAAAAAAAAAAAATCCAAGCGTTTTACACTGTCATTAAATAATTACAAATCATTTAGTTTCAGATGTTCTTGAACAAGCTTAGTGTAACTCCAATAGGATTTAGTGCACTGGGGATGTTTACAATGGATAAACCTACCATTTTGACGGTGAGTGGATTCTAGAAACAGTCTTCAGTTCCTTCAAATGGTGACATTGTAAATGTTTTCACAGTAATGTTATAAAATGGATCAATTATATCTGTAGTCAAGAAATACAAAAATGATAAGTTTGTCAACGAGCGTGAGACCCCTCATTGTGAAAAAGTCATATTTTTCTTATTTCAACATTTTTTTCAAATAAAGGAATGCATTGGGATTTATATTGGTAAGAGGGGGACATTTACAACTGATCACAGAAAAAAAATAACACCTGTGCTGTTTCCAAGCTCTTAAACAGCTTACACCCTGTCTTTTAAATATCTCACCTAAATATTATAATAAAAAAAGAAAGATAATGGAAAGATCGAACGACCTAACAATTATTTATTTTTTTTGCTAATTAAGCGTAACACGAGAAGAAAAAGACGTGGTCATTGTTTACAGAGATTAACCAAATTATTAATTTTGTCTGGTTTTAAGTAATATTTCTGACATTATATATTGCAAGAATTTAAAGAAGGTATATTAACAAATGTAGTCTTATGCCATTTTTTCAATGGTTGCTGGGATTGATATTTTAATAAATTTTGAAAATTGTTGGTTTTACCAATGATATTTTGACACCATTTTCAGTGCAAGGGTGAAGCGTTTGTTAAGTGTTTGGAAATAAATTCACAAGTATAAGTAAGACAAATAAACCGTCATCTCTTTCAGATAATCGGCATGTTCCTGACTTACTTCTTTTTGATGATCCAGTTTAAACCATCAGATGTCACTGTGCCCTGTGCTGGGAATTTTACGGCCACTTGACCAGAAATTAGAAATAGCAATACTATATTAATGGGACTCACAAAAATTGGAAACCCACGAGACATTTAGAGGATATCAGATGGAATGAAATAATGCTTGAATGCTTCACAATTGTAGTTCTGTTTTATTGCAAGCTACAAACAAGTGAAATATATTTTGGAGAATTCATTGTCACAACATTTCATTATGGTTACAATATTATAAGTTACCATATTCTGCTCGTTGTAATTAATGTAACTATTAATAAAATACAATAGCTTAGCTAGTGGATAGTGACTAGTGTCTAGAATGAGAGGAGAGATGACTTCGACACGTTATTACTTGAAAGAAATATATTGTAATTCAAAAAGAAAAAAAAAACAGGAAATACGAAAAACTTGCTGTTTCCTTTTTGTCTAAGCTGACGGTTAATTGTTTTAATGGTAAAATACAAAGAATTGTGTACTAATCATGATTATTTATGAACATCTGTCAAACTGCCTTTCAGCTCATGTTTGTATATACGATTCAACAGCCACAATATCATAATGTCTATTTGTATAATTCCCTGTTCTAAAGAAGAGCGTCTATAAGTCTATTCGATATCTTTTAATGTTAAGCCGGCGGCAAAGAACTTATAGAAGGATGGTATCAATTTCGATAATTACATGAGTTATTCATTTCATACCCTTGTCCCTGTTCTCTATAAGCCAAGAAATAAACTGACGTCCGACCTAAAAAGCACCCTTGCCTTAAAAGCAACCTCTCGTGCCGCGCTTTGTCTTTCTTGGTTGCATATTGAACAGGACCCATTTTAAAAGGTTTGAATGTTTCACTCTTTTTAAGATAAAAGATTATATTTTCGTAGTGGCGCACGACCAACACTTTTTACACACGTGTTCATGTATTTGTCTGCAAGATTTTAATGTCTGTAGAGTTTTGTTTATCCTGTCAGTGCCTAAATATACAATGTTAGTTTGACAACGTAAAACTATATATATCTAATATTAGGAGAATAAATTAATGTAGTTGATGGACTCATACAGAAACTACGTAACGGGACAAGCCCAAAAGATCAATGGCACTCATTTCCCTGATGACGATTTTTTAATGATCTCAGATTTTTTAAGTTGAGCGCTTGATTTATCATTTCTCCTTTGTGATAATACATAACGAGATGAACAGTCACGCTTCCGATATCTGATTTGGTTAATGAAGAGATATTTTTAAGATTTCAGGGAGTTTGTTGGTTCAGCTCTTTAGACTGGTGCCCAAAAAAAAAAAAAAAAAAAAAAAAAAAAGCACAGCATGTGCCAGGCATTTGGTCGTTTTTTGTGGCAAAAAATTATCTGTGCTATAGATAAGGCACCATCTACAATAGCAAAGCCTGCTAGACTTGCACCATCGTTTGTGACATCCGTTGATTTTTGCTTCCTGGTCACTTGGTAAACTGCCTTTAGAAAATATAAACAAAACTTACAACATGAATATGAATGTGCCTTTAGAAAATATAAACAAAACTTACAACATAAATATATGCATGTACCAGACTAAAGTTTTAAAGGCGTTCACGACTGTAAATCCCTAGGGCCAGCGAACTCTTCCAGTTCATTTACGACTAATTTTATCTAATAGGCTTTACAATTACTTTAATTTATGTATTTTATGTAATTTATTTGATCACTTACCCTCGAGCAAGTAACCAAATGGGCAATTTATGAACGGGGATCCTTTCTGCATCCACACCTAAAAGCCATAAACAAAACTCTGACATCAAATGTTTTACTTAATTGGTGAACATGCCTACCTAATCGATAGAGTTTGGACATTTGACCACTATTATATCTGCAATTACCACAGGAAAGGGAAACGTTTGAATTTAGTTGCTGTTTGAGCCCATTACATCGGATATTAATTGTCATCAAGTTGTTTAGTTTAGGACAATCAGCTTGCGAGATCAATTTTCCCAGAACCGCATTGTGTGTCCCAGCATTATATCAAGGTGTATATGGAATTTTTCTTGGGGAGGTGTTTGTCCACAATTCCATGAAAACAACTCCCCAACTTTTCCTTGCTAAAAGTGCTTAATGTGCTAATGGGTCAACGTTTATAAATCAATATAACGCTCATATAAATGTACAGCAGCTCACGTCTGTGTTTCTAATCGCCATTCACT